ACATCTGGTGAAAATTTCATGTCATTAGCACCTCTAGTAATATATTTACTGAGAAAAATGTTGACTTGTTCAATACTTATTTTACCCGCTGTATCTAAAATTAAGACCTTAAAAAGTCTTACATTTGATAAAAAACGTGCAAGTTGGTCTTAAATTTGTTACTCAAAGGTCTTAAATTTTGTCGGGCTGAAGCGATTAAAGTTCTCCGTCTCCCCCGGCCGTCTCTGCAGCGCATTTCCTGTTGAGAAAYAAACAAACAAACTTGTGTTGTGATGGATTAACTGACGCTGCTTTCAACCAATAAAAAGAACCAGAGTCACAGTTATAGCCAATCAGAGCAGAGCAGGGCGKGTCCTGCTRCYGAGCGGATTCAGAACTGCAGGTGAAGTAAACAGAGTGGCTCTGACTTTTTTTCTTTTTTCGACCCGCTACCAGAACCACCCGCCCCGCATGAAGATAAAGTTATGTAATAAAATGTTAAACTTCTAAATAGTATTAAACGTATGAGGTCGCACGTGTAACCAGTTCACTGCAGCCGAGGAGATACCTGAGCTGTTACACCGTTACTTCAAACCGAGCCCGACCTGCCCGGTCTTTTTTAATCTAAAGTGTAATTTTGTGTTAAATGTTGTGTTCAGAGTGTCGTAGTTATTTTRAAGACATGTGCAACTTGCACGCGCTGAGGAGTGACCTGAGCTATATCACCCTTACTTCTACCCGTCCAGAACCGAGCCCCGACCTTTTGTATTTAAAGTCCAATTGTGTTAAACGTTTATGTGTTCTGAGCGTTGTTGATATTTTACTATAGAAAGCGCACCGGGCCAAATACACGTGAACATTTTATGTTACTGTGATACATAAACAACATGTGCAACTTGAGCTTGTGACCAAACTCCGGGTCACAGCAGGAGCTCATCATGTGTGTCTCCTGGTGAGAGAGAAGTTGTAGCTGYTGCTTCAGGTATTAAACATTTATTAACGCTAAAAGATGAATATTTGTAGACTYCAGATCACAGAAAAGACATTTGTTTCAGTTTAAATTTAATTTTCCCTCAAATTCATGAAAAACATGTTAATTCTACAAAATGTTTTAACAACAAYGAGGTGTGTTGTCTGTTTGGATGTGCTAAATGTTTATTATCTTTAGAGCTACTCTACTAAGTGAACTGTGATAAATATTCATAAATGATCAAATATGAAAAATAAATAGTATGACTATGATTGTTACCAGCAATAGAAACTTTTGACCATAACAGGTCACAAGTATCTTTTTAGAAGGATGCCAAACCATCCATCAGTGTGATTACATGAGCTATAATCCTGTAAATATTCCCTTTGAATGAAATGTTGATGTTAAGGGAGAAATCTGTGAAACTCAAAAAATAAACAAATAAATAATTAAAAAATTTAAAAGAACTTATGGGTAATATATTCTTTATAAAGGAACTTTATGTGCTATAATTTTTCAAATTTATCAGAGTATCTCAATTCAAAACACTGATTTTACATAAAAAATAAACTACAGAAAGTTGTTAAAACCTCTCTTCCTTCAGACATTTGTTGGATAGTGATGCTGCAGGTTAAACTGCAGGTTTATTGACGGCTGGATGACGTCTTTTTGTATAAAGGCAAAACTGGAGGTTAAAACACAAGTTTCATGCCATGAATGTATTTAGTAGATGTATTTCATGTTTGTTGTTTCCAACCAAATAACTGCACTTGCAAAATACAGCTAATTTAACCAGAGAATACTGAATATCTTTATATTCAATGCGTTTTATTGAGTGACACACATGTRCTTGGTTGTAATACAGCAGAATCCCCGAACCTTCGCTTATATTTTCGGTCTTAAATTTCATTCAAGGTGGTATTAAAAGGTCTTAAAAAGTCTTAAATTTGACTTGCTAAAACCTGCAGATACCATGTTTATATATTAATAATAAAAAGCCTGAATGTTCAGTGAGTTGTAAGAATATCATTAGTCAGAACTGCAGCAAATTGATGAGAAATCCTACAGGAGGAATAAACAGAGGAACAAATATAGGAGAAATGTTTAAAATGGCCGCATCAGAGGAGTCKGAATTTGGACAGCCTCCAGTTYAGTGCTGTGACGTAAGAGGCCGACAAATTCAGCCTTGGAAGGACGCAGCCCCTGAGTTTAAACACAACAAATACTAGTAGGGTACCCCAACCTTTTCATCAGGGCAAAAAAAATCGCTTTTAGTCTGACCCCTTATCTGAGGCCTGGTTGTCATGACACCCAGTGTACTTCAGGATCATGGGGGTACACAAACCCCTTCACCGCGTTAAGGTGGCGATTCTGCGAAGAGGATATAMAGTCATATGAAAAAGTTTGGGCAGCCTTGTTAATTTTCCTGATTTACCTTTATAAATCATTAATTGTTTGGATTAAAAATATCAGTTAAATATATCATATAGGGGACAAACGCAGTGATATTTGAGAATGAAGTTTATATGACTTACAGAAGGTGTGCAATAACTGGTTAAACAAAATTAGGCAGGTGCTTAAATTTGGGCACTGTTTTCGTTTTCCAGAATCCTTAAAGCCTGCTGGCAGGTAATATTCCTTCCTTTCAGGAGTTCTAGGTTTTGATCTGGTTTTCTGAAATGCTTCAACTTTGCTTCTTAAAGCGTTCCAGCTTTCAAATTACCTTTTCCTACCTGACCAACTGTAACTGTCACAGTAAAGATAATCCTGCAAAATCTGATGCTTTATAATTTCTTAAGTTCGACCTGTTTTTAGGGAGTCAACAATGCGTTTTGGTCTTGGCAGCCTTGCTGCTGAACTTCTGATCTTACCTGTTGTAGTTAGATTTTTTTACTTAAACATAACCTGACTTCAGAATGTCTGAACTACTAGTTTAAGGTGAGGAAATGCAGATCATGATTTACTGTAGGTCACTGTCACATCTGGGAGTTGCCTTCAAAATAAAATTGCACATCCGCTTCTTGTACTATTTCTGACAGCTAAAGAGTGATGTTCCACAGATTCATGCTGCCACCAAGTGTACAGACATGTAATAACAAAGGGTTCATTGTCTTATRTGTAGTGATCGCTGTCCTGTGTAGTTCTGTGTAGTTTGATGAAATGAATCATTTCTTTATAAATCACATGAGTCTTGTTTTCTACACAGACAACGATTATTTGGGATGCACACACAGGAGAAGCAAAGCAGCAGTTTCCTTTTCATTCAGGTGAGCAACARGACTAGTATTTAATCCTAAACACTAAAATCATCGGTGTAACAAAAAATTTAGATACAGCTAATATTTTTTATGTCTTTGCCTCCCAAACAGCACCTGCTCTGGATGTAGACTGGCAGAGCAATAACACGTTTGCCTCCTGCAGCACAGACATGTGCATCCACGTGTGTAAGCTGGGTCAGGACAGACCTGTCAAGACCTTCCAGGGACACACGGTAAGACACATGTCCTGGTGCTCTGTTTGCCAGAAGAACTGAGCAGAGACAACAAATACCTGTCCTCACATTTACTGCTCTTAAACTGCTCCAGACTACTTGATCTGTTGAATGTCAGCTTCATTAAAATAGTCTTTAAATCAGTCGGGTTGATTTTAGATGTTGGATRTTTTTTGTCTCTGGGTTTTTTATTTGTTTGTTTTTGTTTTTATTAATTCAGCTGTCAGTATTGTCGCTGTTGAGCTGCTCCTCCCCAACATTCTGTCAAACAGGAAGTCCTAATGTCCTCTTTATTCTGAGTTAAAATTTACACCTGTTAAATTTCCTGTGTTGTTCTAATCTGAACGACCCAGAATGAAGTAAATGCCATAAAGTGGGATCCGACTGGCAGCTTGCTGGCCTCCTGCTCTGACGACATGACGCTGAAGGTCAGTTCCCACAGCGTGCTCATTCTGTTTGAAAATAGATTCACAGCCTTGAATGAATGCTTGTCTCTGTCCTTCCTGCCATAGATCTGGAGTATGAAGCAGGACACGTGTGTCCACGACCTCCAGGCCCACAGTAAAGAAATCTACACCATCAAGTGGAGTCCAACAGGCCCCGGGACCAACAACCCCAGTGCAAACCTCATGCTGGCCAGGTTCGACTTGTTTCCTCTGCATCAGGAGTTCAAAGCCATGTTTGTCAGAGTTTATCTGTAAATATAGAGTCAGGGTTTCTTTACAGTCATGGAAATTGTCTCTAGTTTCCAGATCTGGTGGAGTAAGTAATAAAAGGTTGGAGTATGAAAATAAAAAACATTTTTATTTCCAGTCAGAATTATTAAACTAGATACCACGTAGCAGTAGCAWATATGACCCCCGCATGTACGCAAAGCTTCAATGCACCAGAACTCAGGACTCAGCAGAACTGATTATTGTTTTGGGTGAGTGGGGGGTAGCCCAGCCCAGCCCAGCCCTTCATCAGAGCAAAACGACAACAGAAATCTGAAGCTCCTACATTTGTGAGTTCTAATCATTTTTRTATGTCAAGACACCCCCTTTTCAGGTGGAGCCCCTTCTCAAATATGGGGTCTATCATAAAACCGTTGGTTGGTGCAGTGTAGGTCAGACTCATCTACAGTCCTGACAAGTTTCCTGTTGATCGGTTTGACCAAATATCACTGGGAAAAACACCAAAAACAATATGATTAGGGATGAGTACTGAGTTAGATACGTTTTTAAGTACCAACCAAATTCTGTTGGTACTACAGAGTACCTATTCTCTAACAACAGGTACCATGTTTCAGTACCTAAACACATCATTGTGACCGTATTGGTGTAAGAGTGTGGATTTTCCATTCTTCACCTGAACGCAGCATCGTACAAGAGTGTGATGACGTCAGCAGCCGCTGGTTCAGTAAACGGATTTCAGTCTGAACGTAGCTTTAAAGCCTCGCAGCTCCTGGAGTGAAACTCGTTGAACAGACCACCTCTGAATTATCTGGTGGATTAATTATCTTGTGAGCACGACATTCGCTTGCTCAAAATAAATAAAGTACCACCACTTTCTTTATTTCATCCACCATTAAACAGAGACCACCAGAGGAAAATAACAGAGGGGCTTCCCAACAGTCTGAACACGTCTGACCTGAAAGAGCACAAGCAGCTAACTTGAAGCGTTTGTGCATTTTGGATGCTCAAAACGTAGCTTGAATACTTTTTTATTTATTTAACTCCATCCTCTTTTGCTTATTTGATTTAAACTTATTTGCCTTCCATGGACCTCCATCACACATTTTTCTAGTGAGGAAATGACATCAATAGAAACACGTGGAGCTGGATTTTAATTTGTGCAATAAGACAAAACWGTCTCGTTGTTTTCAAGAGTTTTAACTTTAAAGAAGTTTGTTAAACAACTGATGTTACAATACAAAGAGTTGGATGTTGTCTTGATATTTGTTAATTTATATATTGAGAAATAAAAAAGTTAAATAAAAAATGTTTATTTGTAAAAAATAAAATAAACAACAACAACACACACAAAGTAATGAAAATTGGTACCGTTGAGTACCAGTACCAATTCCCAGGTACCGCAGGGTTTCCCCTACATGTAATTGATCGTGGCGCATCGCCATGGTTAAATAAAAGCCGCCACACCTTCGGAATGAAGTTTTTATTTATTTATTTATTTTTTAAATCAGCGTTAAACGGGTTGACACAATCATGTCCGAGACAACCTATTTTCGTTCCAGACAACCAGATCCCACCTCCCGGTTGTCCGGTGGACAACTAAGAAAAAAAAGGTCTCGATTAAAGTTTTCCTCCGCGGGTGTTCATTGTAAAAATGAACGAGAAAAAAAAAAGCTTGTTAAAGCTGTCCATCTAGGGACGTCTACCGTCTGACGRTTCTTTCATCCAATAAAGAGAACCAGAGTCAAAGTTTTACCCRATCAGAACAGAGCAGGGCGGGTCGTGCTGTCTGACTGACAGCGCTGCCTTTTTTCTTTCTCTGTGGGTCAGTTTCCCTCAGCTCAGGTGAACACCTCCCGGGAAAGCCCTCAGCGTTTCCTGGACTATTTTCCACCAAGGATTACGT